TTCTAGACTATAGGCTTCTGAGTGTGGATATGGGCAGCCACAAAGCCACTAGACAGAGAGAGAGAGAGATATTAGAAGGAGAGGAAACTGTAAAGGAAAACACACTAAATATAACAGAAAACACACACACACACATGCATGCATACACAGAGACATAGTGCAAAATATGTCTCCAAACCAGGATCCAAAACACATAAAGACGTGAGATAGCCCCCCCAAAAAAATAGCCATCAAAGGCTGAATTAAGTCTGGATGAAAGGAAAATGATAGAACAGTACAACAAAGATTGTTTTTTAAGTCCATTTAGGGTGCTCAAAGACATAAATAACGGAATAGCATTCACTAAAATAATAAGAAACTAAGAAACAAATGGATAGAGCAGGTAGATCTGAAAAAAGATATCTTTGCCAGTAAACCAAAGTTACTAAACTCAATAGACAGGATAAATTCTAGGCTGGACCTAGTCAGAGAAGGTAAGGGAATTAGAAAATGATGCTGAGGACTGTATTCACAGCACTAAGAGAAAAAGATAAGACAAATAAATGAGCAATTAAGAGAAATGGAGAGTTGACCACAAGCCTCTAAAATATTCTTTAGTAGGTATATTTTAGAGGTTTATTTAGGGGTATATTCAAGGGATTTCAGAAGAAGAGAATGGAAGAGATGGCAGAGAAACAATATTTTAAGCTATAATAGCTGAGAATCTTCCAGAATTAAAGAAGGATGTGAGTCTTTAAGGAAATGGGCTCCCAAGAGAAATTTCAAACATCTGGGAAGGAAAGAAAGGCCTACATAGAGCAATTGGTATTCTTTGCAGCTCAGCTTTGAGAAGGCCCGGCTGATTAAAATGAGCCTTTTCTGTTTTTCACTGAAAAACACAAAAACAGAAATGTAATGTGTTGTAGATACTAAACCGTGTTTTCTGAACAAAGGCACTTATAAATAACTCATAAAAGGAGAGTTTTGTGAACAGCTAGACCCACAGGATCAAGATAGCAAGGAAGATCTCTCTGGAAAAGGTAGTTTCCTGTCAGCACTTTGTGAAAAGGAGGTGGGAAGACAGTAATTATTGTATTATCCTGAAGTCCATGTCTAAAAACAGTATTTTCAAAAGGAACATCATGGATTTCTAACCAATCTGGTAGAAAGAAAAAAACTGAATAGGATTCTACATAAAAAAGTGTTATCAGTTGGAACATTTCATTGAAAGTAGTTTCAGTGGATAACTGCAAGGGAAAAAATTAGAAGGTAATTCCTATGGAATTAGACCTTTTAAACCTGGGATGCTATTTCAAGTGCACAGAAACGTTTAGCTGATTGCCAGTTAAGTGGTTAGAAATTAGATTTAGTTAATGTGGACAACTGCATATATGTTCACTCCCAGAGGACTAGTGTGTGAAATCTGATTGAAGGTAAACTCATTTTGATAAATCTTTTCTTATCACTGCTTTGTCAAAGCACATTGCTATGAAACAAACTGCACAAACTACTATCCTTGAAGATTGATAGTGACAGGATTTCAATCACTACAGATAGGAGATTCTTTTCAATTCTGTAGATGAATAAGATTGTACATTGATTTCCTATATGACTTTAAATTCCTGGAAAACTCGTAATGTTAGGTACAGAGGAGAGCTCAAAACAAAACAAAATGAAGAAAAAAACCCAAGAGTACATTGGATTTTATTTCTGCTTCAATGTGGAGATCCAACATTTTGAAACTGAGCATTTTGGAGGGTATACTATGCCCTGTGGAATGTTCATTCCAGGCGTGGAACAACAGAAAATATTTTCCTAATAGGAAGCCTGGTCATGAGATTATCTTACTTTCTCAGACTGAACAATGGGAACTTTTTTCATACTCACTATTTACATCTCATGTCTTTTCTCATAGATATAGATCACCCATATTTGTAGATAAGAATTTCTCTCGTCTGATGAAACGTTGCCTGTGAACAACAGAAATCTGTCATCTTATTTATCTTATTTTGGTATTTATCATAACTGGAGGAAGATACCAAAAGTTCTGATCAATCACTGAGTGTCAAATATCAGAAGTGTCCTCAACTGAAATTGTATTCTCAGTAATTTCTAAAACATTTGGGACCTTTGCATATGCTAATAATGTTTGTTTATGTTTCTTTGGACATCAATCAGATAAAACCAAAAGAAAGTGGAATAGTCACAGAAATTGTAATGAAATAAAAATTCATAGCAATAAACATTATTAGGTACAAAAAGGATGCTACATAAGAAACAATCCAAGAACAATCAAGATCTTTTATACATCTAACTACATAGGCCCCACAATATGTAAAATGCATTATGACAGAATTAAAAGGGGAAACTAAAAAATCCATAATTATATTTCAACACTCCTATAACAAAAATTGATAGCTACAAGGAATCAAAAAATCAGTAGGGACAAACAGTTTGAACAACAAAATTAGCACACTCTATATATTTAGAGACTCCATCTTTCAAATGGGAAAAGACACTTTTTTTCAAATACTCAATGAACATTTTTAGCAAGTAACTATGAACTAGGTCACAAAAAGAAGTCTTGCTAAATTTGAAAGGATCAGTATCATACAGGTGTTCTTTGATTAAAATGCAATTAAATTAGAAGTATACCCTAAAAATATAAGAGAAAAATCTTTGGAAATAAAAACACACTCCTAAATGAGGATAGTTTAAATTTTAAAAATCACAATAGGAATTACAAAATGTAAGCAACCAAATTAAATCAAATGATACATATCAAAAATTTTGGTATACAGTTAAAGTGGTACCAAGAAGGAAATTTATAACCCGACATGTACTTATTAAAAAGTAGCAAAAATTTAAAAACATGATTTAAGCATTCAACCTATAAAGCAAGAGGAAATAAAACAGAGTAAATACAAAATGTTATTAATGGACATAAAATGAAACCAGAATCAGTGAGGACCCTTACCACCTTCTTGGATGTGAAGACTCAATATCATGAATTTAGTCCTTCCCAACTTAATCTATAAATTCAATATAACTCAAACCCAAAATTTCAACAAAAATTTTCATCAAATATGAAAATTTGATACTGAAATCATAGGGAACATCAAAGGGATCAGAATAGCCGAGACAATTTTGAGGAAGAACAAAGTGAGGCTGGGAGGGCCTACCAGACACCAACAGATTTAAAGCTATAGTATGGGAGCTGCGAGCTGCATGGAGATATATGCAAATAGACCAACAGAATAGAATAGAGAGCTCAGAAGCACACCTATGTATTTATGAACACTTGATGTTTTGCAGAGGCATTGTTAGAAATCAGTGGGGAATAGAAGGACTATACAATGCATAGGGCTGGCTTAAGAGTTTATCTATGGGGGGAAAGTAAAATTAGATCATATGTTCACAGCAAGCACAAAAATAGATTCTGGGTAAAGTCCTAAATGTGAAAAACAAAATTTTAAACTTTAAAATGTAGATGTAAGGGAAGAGTTTCTTAAACAACGTATAAAAAGCAGAAAACATGGAGGAATATATTGAAATTTAAATTTTTTTATTTTGTACCACAGGATACCATAAGCCAAGTTAAAGATAAACTACACTAAGATAAGGGCAGGAGATAGCATTTGCCATGCACGTAACTGACAGTGGATATACATCTAGAATATGTCCAGAACTTTAATAAGAAAAAGACAATGCAACGGGAAAATGGGTAAAGGAAACATGAAAAGCCACTTAACATGAAAGAAGTTCAACCTTACCAGTAATCAAGGATGTACAAACTAAAATGCACCATCAGTTGGCCAAAACTTAAATGTCCGCTAACACCAAGTATTTGATGAGGAGGTGGCCAAATGGAAAACCTCATTCACTACTGGAGAGAGAATAAATTGGTAAAACCACTTAGAGCAAGTTGGTGACATGTAGCAATATTGAAGATGTTGCTAAGACCCAATAATTCTACATCAAAATATATTCCATAAAGAGTCTCTTAAACAGGTATCCAAGGAGACAGGTATAAGGAAGTTCATTGCATCATTATTTGTAATAGTGAAAAGTTGGAAACAGCCTTAACGTCCGTGGACAGGAGAATGTTGTTGGCATATTCAAGCAACAGAATAATACCTTACAGCAGTTAAAATAGCAACTATTGTGTATTGACATGGATAAATCTCCAAAATGGTGTTGAAGGCAAAAAGCAACTCTAAGAACGGTATGTACATTCTTAAACATAACGTTCTTAAATGTGAAGTTTAAGAACATGCAACATAATGCTATTTGATTGCATCGCGTAAAATGGCCATTTTTGTAGGTAAAAAACAGGCAAATATCAGCATCTTTATTAGTCTAACTTAATATTCATGGATACATTTGTGGTAACGATGGAATTCAGCATGGCATTATATCCTTGGGGTGATGGTGAGAAGGGAATGGTGTGGTGTTGAAGAGGGCACATTGGGGAGTTTTAGTTTTAATTATCATATTTTATTTCTTCAAAAAAGTTTTGAAGAAAATATGGCAAATGGTAAACGTATCGAAGCAGGGTGGTGGGTACATGGATATATATACTATATTCTCATACATTTCTGTTGAAAATTATTTGCTAATTTTTTTAAGCGAACCAAAGTGTTGATAGGGGTATAAAAATTTTAATCTCATGACATTATAAAGAAATGTGTACAAAATGATGAAATCCTTTGCTGCTTACTTATATGAACATAGTACTCATGAGGCTTTTAGTATAACATAAAAAGTTGAAAAGCATGTCTCTCCTCACACGCCAGGCAAAAGCTTCAAATTTCGTCTTGTTCTTTTAGGACTGGTAAGATTGTCATCATTAAAACCATTCATTAGTGCCTCTCTTTCGCTTGCTGTTGTTTGGTGGTGGTCAGATGCATCTATCTGCCATGTTATATGAAATTTGGTAATGATACTCAATTTTTTTTCTTCTTTTTTTTTTTTTTTTTTTTTTTTTTTTTTTTTTTTTTTTACTTCTTTAATGCCAACAGGAATCTGCAAGCAGAATATGATCGTCTAAAGCAGCAGCATGAACATAAAGGCCTGTCCCCACTGCCGTCCCCTCCTGAAATGATGCCCACCTCTCCCCAGAGTCCTCGGGATGCTGAGCTCATTGCAGAGGCCAAGCTACTGCGTCAACACAAAGGCCGCCTGGAAGCCAGGATGCAAATCCTGGAAGACCACAATAAACAGCTGGAGTCACAGTTACACAGGCTAAGACAGCTGCTGGAGCAAGTGAGGAGAGATGGGATATTTGCAAACATGCATTTCCCCCTGTTAAACAAAACAAAAAAACAGAACTCAGAGTCCATTTTTATAAGTGTAACAAGCGTCACTTATTAAATGCTTGGTGTGTGCCTGGCAAAGTGCTATGTATCACAGGATAGAAGAAGGGGAGGGAAACTAGCGTGCCTTTTTATATTTGTTTAAGGTTGTTTCCTACCAAAATGTTTTTTTATTTGACCAATTTGAAATACATCTTGGGAAAAAAATGCCAAAATATTTCCACTAGTTTTCTAAAAGTGCAAATTTACCTCTTGAAATATAACTCTCTTCAGTTATATTTTCTGGTATACCTTTGATTTTTTTTTCTAATCCCAAACACATAATTTTTAAGCCACCATTAAACACCTGGCAAGATATTGCATTGTAATAGGCCCTACATGGACATGGTTATGGCTTTCTGGGAATTTCAAACTTTGAGATATGTTCTCTCTATCTTGTTACTTAATACTTCACAAAAATATGGATTTTCCTTTACATTTCTGAGATCTCGTATGGTTTCACCATTCTCACATGCCCTTCTAAATCTTTCAGCTATTTAGTCTAATGATTTATAGTTTCATTCCAGTGTGGCTCTAAGTTTTTCTCATATTTATAAGGGAACACAATTCAGATAGAAAGACAATATCCATAGATCATATCAACTGTGTAATATCCCAAATTCAGCAATCTTTGGGAGCTTTCTAGGTAGATAGGGTCAAAATTTCTGAATCCTGAATATTTATAATCTTTTTATATTTATATAAATATTTTTATATTTATATATTTGAGTGTTTATTATGAAAAATAATTCTGCTTTCTTTTGGGTGCCTTAGCCCCAGGCAGAAGCCAAGGTGAATGGTACAACGGTGTCCTCTCCTTCTACCTCTCTACAGAGGTCAGACAGCAGTCAGCCCATGCTGCTCCGCGTGGTTGGCAGTCAAACTTCAGAATCCATGGGTAAGTGTCTTAGCTACTCCCAGATTTTGTTATCTCGAGATCTGGGATTGTGGGTCTAACTTTAAAGTATATAGTAGGCTGTTTCCCCAAAGTTTCAAACTGGCATCCTGCAGTCTACAATAAAGCCTGAGCTCATATTTTGCTGGTCTAATATGAGCCCACATCATGCTTTAATTTTATTTTTAAGTTAATTGTCAACATCTAAAAATGGAAGCATTTTACCCATATTCTTGGATTTCTAGTTTCTTTCAGAAAATTGTGAGAGTTGACCTCATTTTCTTGCAAAAAACCAGTCAATTAGAGTTCAGCTTCAGTATAGTATAGCATAGTGTGGTATGGTATGGTATAGTATAATATGGTATAGTAAAATTTATACCTTGTACTCTCCAGTTTATTGTAATTCTCACTATTCCCTATTGCATTTGTTAAATTAAATTTGCCCTAAAGCTGCCTCCTTACGTATTTTAAGTTTGGCCTAAAGGTTTCTTTGCACATATAGTGACTATAACCTAACTGAATATGAAAACAGACTATAACCTACTCTTGTGCCAATCACTGAGTTCAAAGATGGCTAACTGTTCAAACTGTGTTCAAATAAGGCAAACACTGAGCTGTAACCAATCCACTGTTTGTACCTCACTTCTGTTTTCTGTGCCTCACTTTCCCTTTTCTTTCTATAAATCTTCAACCATGTGGCAAAGCAGAGTCTCTCTGAACCTATTCTGGTTTGGGGGCTACCCAATTAGTGAATTGCTCATTGCTAAATTAAACTTTGTTAAATTTAAACAAACAAACAAAAAAGATCTGGGCCGGGCGCGGTGGCTCACACCTGTAATCCTAGCACTCTGGGAGGCCGAGGCAGGCGGATTGTTTGAGCTCAGGAGTTCGTGACCAGCCTGAGCAAGAGCGAGACCCCATCTCTACTAAAAATAGAAAGAAATTAATCAGACAACTAAAAATATAGAAAAAATTAGCTGGGCATGGTGGCGCATGCCTGTAGTCCCAGCTACTCAGGACGCTGAGGCAGGAGGATCGCTTGAGCCCAGGACTTTGAGGTTGCTGTGAGCTAGGATGACGCCACGGCACTCTAGCCCGGGCAACACAGTGAGACTCTGTCTCAAAAAAGAAAAAAAAAGATCTGGGATTGGTAAAATGTTTGCTTAGAGGTTCAAATCATCAGCTAAATTATCTAATACCAGTTCTGGACAATACATTGTCATAAATGCCTCAGGGGACACAACGATGAGTGACATAGTCCTAGCCCTCCAAGAGCCAGCCTTTCAGTGATTCAGAACAAAGCAGAGTGGTATTAAAGTGCCATTGATTTTGGAGACCAGGGAAGGCTTTATGACCAATTGATATTTGTGAAGCGTTCCAAAAGATGGAGTAGAGACCAGGCATAACTGGAAGAGGGAATAGTGTCAATGAATGTATAAGGATGAGTAGCTCAGGCCAAGGGTGGGAAACAGCCAATAGTCCAGTTTGGTAGGAAGATAGGGTCCAAGGAGGAGACAGGGGAAAATAAGGCTGCAGAGGAAAGTTGGAATCACATTATAGTGACATGCATATTGGTCAGAAGTGTTTGACTCATTTTGGTGTCAGAGAGCCACTGAAAAATCATATTCCAGATGAGAAAGATCGAAAAAGAAATTTCTAAAAAGATATGTTTTAGCAGCTGTATCTGGTCTAAAGTAAGACTTTTTTGTAGGTGGAAAGATCAGTTAAGAGGCAATTTCAAAGCCCAAGATATGTGAGTTCTGAGGGCCTGTGTTTAAGAGATGTGGGAAGAGATATCTGTGAGACTATTACCTGAAAATAGAGTTTCCCTGGCCTGGAGACTGACTATAAAATGTGAGGAGAGGAAATGAGGGGAGAGGATTTGATTGGAAGAAGACAATGAAACTTCTGATTGTGGACATGATATTCTTGAGGAACCAGCAGGTCTTCTAAGTCATGTCCATAAAGAAGTTAACATACTGGTACACCTGATATAAGATGGCAGGCTGGGGAGATTTGAGCCTGAGCCCCGTAGAACTGATTGCTGAAGGGTCTGAGATGAGAAATCTGCAACATAGGTGCTTAGATCCAGTCAGTGCCTTGGGGAAGACCTCCATTTAGGTGATGGGGTAGTGAAGAATGGGGAAGCAGGGATAGGTTCAAAAATGTGCTCTAAAGGCCAAATGCTAAAGACAGCTCAGTGGAAATGAAAATAAATCAGTCCATTAGATCAGCGGTCCACGACCTTTTTTGGCACCAGGGACTGGTTTCATGGAAGACAATTTTTCCATGGCCGGAGCAATGAGGAATGGTAGTAAATACAGATGAAGCTTTGCTTGCTTGCCTGCCGCTCACCTCTCGCTGGGCACCCCCTGCCCCCAAGTTTCATGGAAGACAATTCTTCCACAGACCTGGAGTTGGGGGGAGGGTGGGGGCGAGGGGGGCTGCGGTGGAGCTCTGTGGCCCTCGTGGTCCCTAACAGACCCTGGGCTGGTACCAGCCCACGACCCAGGGGTTGGGGACCGCAGCATTGGATGACTGTCAATGCATCAGGCAGAAAGTATTTTCAGCCAAGAAAAGGGAAGTTGGAGAACCTCTATGTTTTCAATGAATTGAAAGATCAGAGAATCTCAAAAATGAGTGAGGATTAAGGAAAGTGCAGACACTTTTGGAACATTACCAAGTAACAAGGAAGGCTTAGTTAAAAGTTAGATGAATTGTTGAAGAAATGGTCAACGCGGTCTGGTGTCATTCTTCAGCAATGTTCTCTGCCTAGGACTAGGTTCTCAGAAAGCTGGAGTTGACGAGGCATCAATGATAAAAGGTCCAAACGAATGAGGCATTCCACAGTGGCAATGAATGGCTGTGACAGGGATTGCTAGCCAGCTGCTCGCTGGTTTTTCCTGCTGTGCTAGGCTAGACAATAGAGGGTTTTATGGTGACCACAGACACTCGGTCCATCCCCCTCATTTCTCCCTGTCTCTTAAGGCCTCGCCTGAGTCAGCCCCATGCTCTACCCTTTCTTTGCCCTGAGTCCAAGACTGGTTATACTTGACCCTCTCAATCATACATCACAGAAAAGAAGACGCCTGTGAGTCCTTGAACTCTATTGCCTGGTACGATAGCGTGTTCAGGATCATTTCATGCTTGAGATCTTCCATGAGAGTAGAATAAAGAGAGGCAAAGTGCCTAACCAAGATTGATAGGACAGAAAGGAAAAGTCAAGGGTGTGAGTGAGTTTTATGGCGAAAAATTAGGAGATTACGGTCAGGAAAATTTGAAAGTTGGACATCACGGAGGTAAAATATTTTCAAGCAATTCCTACATGTAAGATGTAGCCTCCCAGTGAGCTGCTGAGGATTGTATGTGGAGATCATTGGAAGGCAAGGAGTGTAATTCATGCTGTTAATGAGACCAGGGTGGTGAGGTCTTTACGGTGATGATGGTGGCAGACCAGGATGGGAAAGATGTTGAGGAAGGTGGATGAGGGCTCTGAGGAGGTGAGCATTTCTGAGGAAGGAGAGAGGGTGGTTGAAGCACAGTTGATGAAGTTCAAGAACCTGGAGCAGTGGGCAGATGCACGTCCTCCTCGAGAGAGGTCAAACCTTCTGGGAAAGCCAGGTTTCAGTTCTTTTGTGAAGGAAGAGGAAATGTTTGTTTGAGGTTGTTTTCCTGACTTTACTACACCTCAGGGGCAATCTCTGCGTCAGATTCTCTTTCTCCACATGAGATCAGAATATAGCTAATGGATTGTTAGGGCTCTAAATGATAGTACAGTGCATGAAAAAAATGTGCATGCCTTTGCAAAGTCTATACATTCTGAAAACCACTGAGCTTTAGTACCTCTGTTGTTTCTTACTTTAGGATTTTCCCTTTTTTGAAAGTAAGTAAAGCATACAAAATTAATTTTCATATTTTAGTGGTGAGATTCAGAGCCCTGGTGGCTTAGAAGAATTAATTATTTAGGTTGTTGAGTCTGTCAAAGAAATAGCATGCCTGTTAAAGCACCCAAATGAAAGTACACATCAGGCTGTGGTCCTGAAGATTTGTGGAGCCAAGAAGATCATGGCAGAACTGAATACCAGGAGAGAAGTGCTATATTCCAGTGGCTGCACTGAGCCAAGAGATAACTTGCCAATATAAAATAGATAGGCTATGTTGTTAAGTTTGTCCTCTGAAAGGAAAGACTGAATTCAGGAGTACTTTTTTTTTTTTTTTTGAACTGCATGAGCTAACTTCATTTAAAAAAAAACACAACCGTCTTCTTGAAGGATGCACACAAGTGTTTAAATGCAATGTGTGTCCTCATGCTTTGAAGGTTTGAGATGTGATAAGGCTGGGATTTGCTGAACCATATTCTGGATAGAGAGTTGCATTCTTTAAATATACCACCCCAGTGATTTTCTTTTAGGTGAAATATGGGAGAAGTCATGTTAGGTGATCTGTCTAAAGAGTCTACGTACTTCCTCAAACCATAAAATACTTATCACTGATAAATCTCTGTGTAGCGTATGTGTTCTATACAATTCTACTGGGACAGTGTGCTAATGAAGCTTACATTCTGTTGCAGGAAATAAACAAATAAAGAAATAGAAATAATGAAGTTTATCCTCTTTTGGCTTTCGTGAGCTCCACACACAAGTCTATGACTTCCTAACAACTCCTTATCTCTAATGACTCCTAGCCTTCCTCCATATTACTCTTTTTAAAAACATTTTATATTTTATTTATTTGTATGTTTGTTTAAAAAATTAAATGGTTCCCTGGCTTTTTTTATTTCAAAGTATTATGGGGGTACAAATGTTTTTGGTTACATGGATTGCTTTTGTAATGCTTGAGTCAAGGTTAAAAGTGTGCCCGTCACCCAGGTAGTGTTCATTGTACCCGTTAGGTAGGTTTTCGCCCATCCCTTTCTCGTCTCCTCTACCAGCTTTTTAAAAATAAATTTCATTGTATATATTTGAGGTTTATGACAGAATGGGTCCCTAGCTTTTTTAGGTAGA